TAGGGTCAGGTAGAGACCAAGCATGACCCATCCCGACCCGTCCCATAGTCACTTTATCATGATAACTTTTTGGTCAAAAATATCATTGATTGTCTAATTTTTTATCATATATACATGTTTAATAATATATACACATATATTATTTATATGTCAAATTACATATTCACATTAATAAATAATATTTAGAAGACTTTATCTAAAATGAGTATACATTATATTTAATCGGATCTATGGTCAGGTTCGGGTTTAAAGGTTGACCCTGTGAATATTTAGGGTCGGGTTAACTTCGGGTTTAAGGTCGGGTCCGGGTTCAAAAAAAATGACTCAACCAACATTTAGGGTCGGGTAAAGACAAACCTTAACCCGTCCCAACCCGACCCACGCTAACCCATAATTATACTCATATATCTACATATTTAAAATATGGTTCATCAAATTATCTATTAAACCTATTGATATGATACAATTTTTATGAGAATGTAATTTTCAATCACTTATTTTATCCTTATAATTAACTATTGTTTATAAATTTATTTATACTATCATCAATCATATTTATTTGTCTATCATCTGAATAATATTTTTACTTTTAGTATTTACATATTCAGTTTAAAATTTTAATAGTGCATTAATTAGTATTTTTCATGTTATTCTTATTTAATACTCTCTTGATTTGCATAACTAATCATGAAAAAATTAATAATATGATAAGTATATTGGGGAAGTACATTAAACATAATGCAAATAAATGCAATCATTAAGCAACATTGACATTAGTTAGTTTCTGTGTATATCATAATCACAACAATACCTCAGTTTCTCCTCCGGCTACAGCATGAGTAATGATATATTCTCCTATTAAATCATCATACTAATACTTCTATACACAAAAAGTGATATATATCACTTGTAAATCAATCACTAATAAATAAAGTATCATTTTATGATATATGTCATTTTTTTGTGGGTAGAAAAATTTAGTATGAGAATATATCATTTTCATTTGATTTTTTTTGTTGGTTTAGGGGTGGATGAAAATGGTTGATAAAAAAATTACAACCCATTATATTCATACGTTAATTTCACACAAAGATGATTAAGATGTAGAATTAATTTGCCTGGATCGAAAATAAATAACTAATTTTAATATATTATTAGTATAAAGTTTATATTAGGGGAGAGATCCATTTATTTCAAGAGAAAGTGAAAAAAACCAACTTCACATCATGATCATTCATTCTTGGAAAATCCAATGATTTTAATTGGTAAGTAAATTTAAATCATTGAATTTTCTAAAATTGAACGGCTAAGATGTGGAATAGGTTTTTTTCAGTTACTCTTGGAGTAGTAGATCCCTCCCCTTGTATTAATATCAACTGTTCATATATCATCATGTGGATACCTTCTTAGGAAATTATTATGAAAGCAAGTTTTTGATTATTTGATTATATATTATTAAATAAATATCTATGTTGATCACATATTAAAATAAATCCAAACAATTGAGTGGTCCAAAATGAGTTACAAATATAAATAAATAAAAATTAATTTTTAATTCTTACAGTCAACTATAGCATGCTAAATACAAAACGAAATATGACTATGGTTTCATTTTATCTATTCAAAATTATAATAACAACATGAAGCATGTGTAGATTATAAGTGCCTCAAAGAGACTATTGTAAAAATTAATTATGAAAAAAAAATTGTTTATCTGAAAATCTAAAATCAGTAGCTTTCACAAAACATTTTTGAGAAAAACCCCAGTTTTTAAAGGAAAAGACAAAATAACAAGCAACATGTAAAATTAGAAAACAACATAATAATTCAGAGGGGACATGTAAAATCCATGAATCTATCATTCTATCTATCTTTTCATGTATAAGTAAGGGTTCTTCATGTCTCAAACAAATACAATCAAACCAATTATTACCCATGTTTAATAACAAAGTTTGTGGTCAATACACCAATATGATATATCATAATTTAACTTCTCTTTAGTGTTGGAGATATAAATATAAGGAGAATTTTTTTATTAAAAAATAACACAAAATTATGGTCAGAGTTTTTTTTGTTGCTATGTATCATAATTTCATTGAGTATTCGAAAATATCTCATCCAATATAGCAATAGTGTGGGACCCTCTATCATAATTAAGGGATAGTATAGGATAATAATAGAGATTATTTAACCAACATGTGAAATTATTTCCGAAACTCATTATTTATATCATATTTCAGTATGGGAGAGATATCAACCCCACATAAATTAACATAATTTGTGGAGTGATAAGGAGGTTGAGGGTTCAAATCCTACATACCATAAAAATACTAATATACTAACATTTGTCGATAAAAAAATTAACATAATTTGTCTTAATAAGTTTATCAAAAGTGCAAGTTTGCAATTGTAAGCTATTACCTATGGGCTTCATTTGTGTGCATTTTGGTAGAAAAGAAGGAAAAGCCCAACACCAAGTTATGCCATTAAAAACATTCTGATCTAATATAATGTCATACCATAACGTTGCCATGACATATGTGGTCACTTTTTATGGTCAAACTTTTATTTTTCTTTGTCTATTGTTAAAAATCAACTGAACCTTGAAACTCTATAATTTTTTTTATTTTTTCTTGCTATTTGAATACTAAACTCTTATTTTTATTCCTTCCCATATTTTTTATCATATACATGTTTTTGTTTATAAGATGAGATTCATTGACTCCAATAGTAAGTTTTTAAACTTACTCCACATTTTGGTTATCAATTCTAAGAAAATTCAATGGTTTGAAATAGTAGGTAGATCTAAATTATTGAATTTCCTCAGAATTGATGGCTAAAATGTGAAGTAAATTTAAAAAACTTACTTTGGAGTAAGTGAATCCCAACTTTTTATATAATGCATTAACAAAAATTGAACACAAATCAAAGTTTTTTGGTGTTAACAAATTATTTTTCTTTGGGAAGAGATCTACTCACTCTAAGAGTAAGTGGAAAAAACATACTCTACATGATAGTCATTCATTTTTTAAAATGCAATTGTTTGAATTGGTAAGTACTTCTAAACCATTGTATTTTCAAGAATTGATAACTAAGATGTGAAGTAGATTTTTCCACTTACTCTTACGTAATTGAACTCCTCATATTTTTCTTTATTCACAAGGTCTTAACTCTGTATTTTCTTTTTGTGTTGAAGAGTTAGAGTCTAATCCTACCTAGATAAAGATATCCATGAAGTGAATACAACATCTTTCAACAAAATCATTTTTTACATACATGAGAGAAATCAAATCTCTAAGGTTATGCTGAAAATATAAAAACAATAATTAATACATGAGTGATAAATAATAATATAAAAACTTTTACACCCTCACCATGTATAAAAAATAATTACACAAATAGATTTCGATTTGATGATTCCAAAAGATTATCTTTCTATAGTTAGGTGAAAGCATACTAAAAATATATGTCAGTGTGGGCTATCAATGTTCTACGAATTTTCTATCAAAAGCACTTTGAATGATATAATTTTCTATCTTTTTTAGTGTAATTGTAATGATACAAATATAATATTAGTGTAAATTAAGGTATATAAATGTCATTATAATTTACTTTTTTTTATGCATTTTAAGAGAATTTATCTATCCAGTGATGGAGAGAAGTCTCATTCAGAATCTAGAAGTTTATTCTCCACATGCATGGAAACAACCAATGTCTGAATATGAAAAATAAAATAACAATTGAAGTGGAAAAGGCATGCATTTAATCATAGATCAGATTATGTGATCAGTGATATATCTAATGTGGAAAATTGGCTCATATGTTAAAATATATTTGTAAATTTTAATTTTATTTAATTTAAGAATTATATAAAATCTGGACTTTTAGTTTTTATGTGTATCATATGTTAAATTATGAATATAGTATCGGAGAGGATCTCAACCCTAATATAAATAAGATTAGGCATAGCACTAGCTCCTCTAACCACTCACCAAAAAAGTTATAATAAATGCCATAATCATTCTTGGTTTGTTTATATATATATATATACTAGTGTATTACCATCACCAACCACCCAAAAAATGAGAAACAATATTCAAAGTTAATCCCAATGGGTCTCTATAATATCCCTTGATGGTATTATTGTATTAATTAATTTTATAACTTATGGTCTATGACATGAATTTAAATTTGGTATGGAATCTTTTGGAAAGATGGTATCCTCATATTGGTTTTCTAATGAATTTTGGTATCAATTTAGTTCATCAACTATAAAATTAATCATCAATTTATTTCTGCAAAAAAAAATAGATCAATTTTAATTATTCAATAATATACATCACATAAAGTTAGTTTTAAAGTCTATATAGAAGAACAATTTTGAAGTTATTTTTTAATTCTATAGTCTTACCTTTACAGCCAAGTAAAGCAAAAAAAGTCTAAATGCATAATTTAATAAAAGCAATAAGAGCAAAAAGTTGCAATACTTGATTTGTAACATGAGATTAAATCATTAAAATATTCGAACATGTGAACATTTTTCAATGTATGATTGAACAATAAAACCAATACACTGATATTAAAATGCTGTCGGTGAAATATTAATTTATAAGCAATGTTGTGACACTTTTTGTTTCTATAATTTTATATTCACACCACTTTTTATTATAAGCTGTATACAAAAAGTCTAAATATGTATTGCAACCATTGTTAACCTTCTCAAATCTCAACTCCTTATCCTTTAGTTTTGTTCACAATTTGTAGGTTAATAATTTAGATTTTGTTAAATTAAAAATTCAGCTTTATATTCTCTAAAGGTATAAGTTGTGTGTATTGACAAAAATAAAGTGCAATGTTAATAAATAAAAAAATATTACTAATTTAAATCTCTATGAAGGACAAATCATAAAATACAATCAAATCACTAGTTTTCTAATTAAAGGAAGAAGGAGAAATCCCCAGAAAGGTAAATTGCAAAAAAGTTAGAAAAAAATAAAAAATGGCCCATCCAGGTCTCAAACTTGTGACTTTCGCGTTATTAGCAGGACGTTCTAACCAAATAAGCTAACGAACCATGATATTTTATTTTGAAACATTATATATATTAATAATATCTGTCATTACTATTATAGAAAAAGTGCTTTTTCCAGGATAAATTTAAAACAATTTATCACGGCCACATGATAAATTGTTTTAAAATTTTGTTGAGGATTAAAAAGATAAATGTTATGAATATAACAGCAAATACCCAAACTCTACTGAAAATATATTTAACTTATTTCTCAATAATATGAAATTGATCAAATTAGTCATTAGCTTATGGGCATTAGTCCTTGCCAATGAACATTTTGATTGCCATTCAATATTTGTAAAGATAAAATTAAAAAACTCATTTCTTGAGGACTAAATCAGTTTTTTTCTTCACAAACACATATTTATGTATTTACTCAATACCTTAACAATGTTATTTAATTCTTGATTTAAAACTAAAACATAATATCTACAGAAATTTATAATTTATCAATCCAAATATACTCTAACAATTCTGAGGCCTATCCATCAAATTATATTTTGTGCTAGGGAATTTCTCAACCATACATACTAAGAGTCATGGACAACACAAAAACATGAGATGCAGTTTATCAATGATTTATATAATGATCCAATCATAATGGTTATACTTTTATTTTTGCACACTTTTGGTTTTTCCATTACTTTACTTTTTACAATTTACAATATATTTGGCTTTCAAAATAATGAGAATATGTATCATAAGATTAGATAAAGTTAAAACCAAAAGAAATGTGGGCTACATTCTAATATTGTCCATTCTTATGAATCAATGAGAATAACAGTGTGCTTGAACCTCCCTTTGAATTTCATCAAATGACTTAGGATTCAGGGACTATCCATTAATTTGAATATAAGTGGGGCACACTCACCCTGGTAGTTATGGCATCATATTTTTTGGTTAATCATGATTTTAAATAGAAGTACACAACCATAATTATAATCATAATATTGTAATTTTGTCCGGCTGTATCGTAATTGCACCGTTCATATTTGTCTATAATTGCGGTAAACTTAATATAACAACAACTGTGACCACAATTTTATGCCCTTGTTGTAAACTTCCATTTGGTGAGAATCTTATATATGTATTACTTCTTCCCCATGTTATTTTGATATTATAGCTCTTCCAACTAATATCCCATTACTTGAGGGAAAAGCCTGAAAAGCTAGCTGAAAATTAAAAAAATCAGACGCTTAAAACTTATAAATTTTAAGCTAGCTGATAGAATTACAAGTATTTGATAAAATTAGCTTATCAGAGACATATGATAAGTGCAAAATGTCTTATAAACTTTCACTTATAACACATAAGTCACCGCATACAAGAAAACTAACTTAATTTTTTATCAAATAAGCTAGTTGAGAAACTTATAAGCCCTCAAAGGATGTTATGAAACCCTTAATGACTTTTCCTTACTCAACTTGGATTGACCTCTTGGATGTCCTACACCTTAACCTTTTCTGTCATGTTCTGTATATAAAGTATTGTCTGTTCCATTTCTTACATGTTCAAAGGTATCAATTATCACACATTTGTAACGTGTGAATTATAGCATGGCAATGTCTTTATATTTATTCCTGGTTTTTCAGGTGTAGCTTGTGCAACCAAATTCCTCCTGCATTCTATAGACTGAGCCATAATTTCCCAAAGTTTTCCTTCATATATGTAGATATTCGATGATTCTACTAGATAGGAACTTCGTGCACTAGGTCACATCCTTTATACAAAATATATGTGAATATCCTGAAACAACTTAACACATTCGATACACCCCCGACTTTCCGAATTTTCAGAGATGGTGAAAAGGGTAGATGAGATGTATGGTCCAGGAGAGGAAAGGCTTCATGGTAGCCTCTAGTTGCACTCTTTTGACTAAATTATTATTTCTACAGTTTCATGTAAGAGCCAAATATTATGTTTGCAATTTCTCTATACTTTTAACATTGTCAATTATCAACAATTGAGTTAATGTCAGATCATAACCAAATTATTTCATGTCTGCATCATTGTTACTTACATGGTTAGCAATACGGTTACGTAATATATGGTTCGGACCGGTTTGTCACTTATTATATTATTATCATAAGATTTCCTTTATACCGAAATCTTTACACAGTATGTAGGATAGATGAATGAATCTTGTAACTATGGTCTGTGTTGTAGAAACAACCATTGTATTTTATAAGGTTCATAAACTGAACCAAATCCAATAAATAAATATCAAATACAAACATTCTAAGTTTACACCAACCACACAAGATTGGTTGCAAAGCAATGAATAATACTATAATAGTAAAGAAACTTAAAGTGGTATAAAAAAGAGGTAGCTAATGCTGCATTCTCATATTGTACTAATGCTGTGAAATATAAGAGATATCTTTAGTGTCATTCTCATATTGTACTAATGCTGCATCAAAGCTTGTTTATTTTCAATTCACACTCCATTATCTGAATGATGGCTATCTCTGGAAAAGTTAAGCCTTTGGCTTTAGTACCTTTATTGTCTCCCAAGTAAAATCGGGATCATCACGTCCAAAATGTCCATAAGCAGCAGTCTTTTGGTACCTGAAATTGCCTCCTCTGGTAAGGTCAAGATGGATAGCCATCATTCCTGGCCTGAAATCAAAGTTCTCCTTAATCAAATCCAAGATATCTTTGTCCGGAATCTTTCCTGTTTTGTATGTGTCTACAAACACAGACAATGGCTCTGGGACTCCAATTGCATAGGAAACCTGCACAATACAACGTCGAGCAAGCCCCGAAGCTACGATACTCTTTGCAGCCTGTCTAACAATGTATGCACCACTCCTATCCACCTTGGTAGGATCCTTGCCAGAGAAGGCACCTCCACCATGAGCACCCCAACCACCATACGTGTCGATAATGATCTTCCTGCCAGTTAGTCCAGCATCTCCATGAGGTCCTCCAATCACGAATCGACCCGAAGGATTAAGATGGAATATGGTCTTGTCATCAAGGTATTGAGCTGGAATCACAGGCTTTATAACATGCTCTTTTAAGTCTGCAGCAATTTGTTCATTTGTGACAGTTTCATCATGTTGAGTTGAGATAAGGACTGTGTGCACCCTAAGAGGGACCATTGCCCCATTGTCATTCCTGTACTCAACAGTGACTTGGGTTTTACCATCAGGCCTTAGCCATGGGCATGTTTTGTTCTTCCTAACTTCGGTGAGCTTGGCACCGAGTTTAGTAGCAAGCACATGAGTGAGTGGCATAAGCTCAGGTGTTTCATCTGTGGCATAGCCAAACATGTGGCCTTGATCACCAGCACCAATCTCTTCAGGTGCTTTGGTCATGTGACCATGAACTCCTTGGGCTATATCAGGACTTTGTTGCTCAATGTTGACAAGAACATTGCACTTATCAGCATCAAGACCAACATCAGCAGACACAAATCCAATGCCCCTACAAGTGTCTCTAACAATTTTCTCATAGTTTACCTTAGCCTTGGTTGTGATCTCACCAAAGACCATAACCATGTTAGTTTTAGTACATGTCTCACAAGCAACCTTGCTTTCTGGGTCTTGCTCCAAGCATGCATCAAGGATTGCATCAGAAACTTGGTCACAAAGCTTGTCTGGGTGCCCTTCATTCACAGATTCTGAGGTGAAGAGGAATGTATTATCCATCTCTGGCATTCAAAAATCAACTACACCTGCATATACATCTACATTTTATTCAATGAACTTAACAATCTTGATTTTATTATAAAGACATATATTTAGTTTTATGAGTGTCGGACTCCCACATAAGCTTGTCGGACCAAGCAAATGACTACCTTAAACCCATAACTAAAGATCCTCTTTTGGCCCATGACAACCGGAAAGAAGTTGAACTCTGGCTCTGATACCATGTTAAGGTTCAATCTCAAAACCAATTGACAATGAGAGGAGTAGCCCAACATGTATTTAAACCATTTCTGAGACAATGAGGTAGGCGATGTGGGACTTACTTCCCTATAGAATTTGCATTTTATTCTAAGGAAAAACAGACACCAGAAACATAGGACTAATGAACCATATGGATCTGAGAATGGTGCAACAAACAATACCACTAAACCAGATCCACAAAAATGAATCAAATGATAAATACAGAACATATGCAAATGGAAAATACTAATAGTCTAACACATTTTAATAAACATGTACATAAACACATTCATTCTATTACATATCATAACAACAAAACAAATATCATAACTCAGAATACAAATTCTACAAAGCAGAACTAATATATGATGTATCCAACATCTCATTACTACAAATGTTGCTACAATATATCTCTATGTAGGAAACAGAAAAAAATATATGTACCAATGTCCTAGTTTGAGGAAATATGAAGAGGGAATGCAAAACAAAGTGAGGAAGAGAAAATATGGCTAATGTTGAGTATATATAGATATACATACACCTCTACATTTAGAGAAAGAGAAAATAAACGAATGACTCGTTCTCTTTTCTATATAATTTTTTCTTCTTTTTATATTATTAAGTTTACTAACTTAAAGAATCAATTTTTATTTTTCTTACCTGAATGTACATCACTCATTTTGTTTTCATAACTTTTTTTAAACATAAATATGACATCTATTAGAACTTGAGACCTAGCTTTATCTACAAATAGTTGCCATTATTTTACAGCCACAAAAATGTCCTTAACTAGAGGGACTTCATATAATTAAACATGCCTTATTTATATTTTATAGCACTCTATATTTGTACAAATTATATATTGCTAACCTTGTGGTGGAACTAATCTTTATACCAATAACCCTCTCAATAATTAAGCTTAATTGTGTCAAAAAATTTGTTCGGGTACGTAGTTCTTTATCCCAACAAGTGTAACACTCGAGAATCGAATTGATCTTTACTTTTTGAACTTTTTAAGTATCTAGTGAAACATTACATCACTATATCAAAGTTTTGTTGGTTTAATTGTGTCAATTGAAATGTGAAATTAGTCTTCAAAAACTCAGACAT